ACTTGTACGTAACATGAGTGCCGACCTCAATCTCCCAGATCCAGATGTATTATAAGTAACACCAGCACTATTTCCAATAATAATAAGTAAAGTGCTGCTTGGGTTTCAGAGCTTGTTCCTGATAACATCTGTAATTCAGAGTTAATCATCCACACAACGCAGAAATCAGTTGAATTCCCTTCTGTCGGTTTCAATCGCTTAAATTACCCACAGGCCAACAAGTGGGTGAAAGCCTTTAGACATTTAAGGAAAAAACAACTAGAAAGAGGCTGAAACATTTGCCAGAACACTGGGTTGCAGATTGAACCATTTCAGTATGGCCAGGCCAAAATGGGTGCTGGCATTGCCACGTGTGAGTGATCCTAAAGCCCTGTCTTTGCCTCCTGTCAGCAGCCCTTGCTGTTTTCTGTTCTCTGTGTTTTTTTCTTGGACAGTATTAACAAGGAGAGCTGACAGTTTCAGTGAATGGACAAGAGCAGTCTAGCACTAACAAGTCCTCAGATGGCTGCAGCAAGCCAGGCTGCTGGTCCATGGGTATTTCCCAGTCCATTTTTCCCACCCATGATGCTGGTTTAGGAGGTGGTGTCCTGTATACGGATTTTGTGTCGAGGAGATTCAACTGGGTGCTGGGCAGGCTGTTGTGAGATTGAGAGGAAAAATATCAGTATCATGACTGAGATAAAGGAACACAGATCTTCTATTATTTGTTCTTGAGAAGGGTTGGAGACTGAGTGGTGGCTTTGCTGGTTTTGCCTTCTGAAGTTCAAAATTCATCCTGTGAGAGGCAAACATGCAGAAGCAGCCTGTGAGAATTTTTGCTTGGCTCCCATATTATGAACAGGAAAATTTTGAACTCCCATTTTTCTCAGCGCATGTAGAGCTGACCAAAATGTCAGAGGGTTTGTTTTAAATAGGAGTAATAACAGTTGTGGGAGGCTGAATCACTGGATGGAAGTCTCTTGTTTTTTCATGCCTGAGGAAAAAATAAGTAATTTTCAGTTGTACTCTATTGCATGCCCTCATTGGCTTACACCAGATTGTCATCAGTGAGATCAGGATTTGGACTGTGCACGTCCATGGTCATCAGTTACGTGACACACCATGCCAATAGACATGGTGGAGCCGTTCTTCAGAATAACTGAGGGGTTCCCTGAGCCAAAATACAGCCAGCAATGATGTACAGCATAACCTCCAACACCAGCACTAGATCCTACCCATATGCTCAGTATTGATACTTCATCTGACACAGTCACAGGACATGGTCACCAGTGAACAAGTGTTCGTTTGTCCTCTCCCAGGCAGTGAGTGTTGCAGACATGTGCTCTTTCAATGTTTACTGCAGCCAAATCTCATCTCAAACTTGTGTGACTCACATTCCACCACTCTCAGAAGTCTCCCCTCCTTTGCCTGTTCAATCTTGTTTCCCTGAGTGGGAGTTTGGGATTTAATTATGGGGGCTGTTCTGAGGTTGTAACAGAGGTATGTATGTGCGTACATGGAGATCTGTATTGACCATGCGTCCAAGAACAGGAAACCTCTTGCCTGCTGTTTTCCCTCATCCTTTTTTGCTTTCACTTATCCCAAAAACCTGCCCAATGCCAGAGCACACAGATACTTTTTAGCACTTTGCCCCATGTTTCGAAAGAGCCAGAACTGCAAAACGGCATAATTCAGGTGAAAAGAAAATGGCTTCTCGGGTCAGTTCTACCCAGCCATTTCCAAAAGGAAGTAAACAGGATAGACACATTCGTAAACTCACATGAAATGTGCTGTGGGGATCATTGAAGGACAGTAACAGAGGGGCAGAAGTGCTGTGTTTCATAGATCTTGGTGTAAGCTCGGAAACCTTCCAAGTAGCATCTGAAACTGTTAGAACTTGCTAATGATGCTGTGCTATTGCATATTTAGCTTTCCCCTTTTAAAGGTCTTTTGTGTGGGGTTGGTTTTTTGGTTTTTTGTTTTGTTTTGTTTTGTGAAAACAACAGGAAAACACTGACTTGATTAAAAACAGGAATGAAAAAAAAAAATACTGTTCCTTGCTTTTAAAATGAACTGAACTTTATCACTAAAAAATTATGAACATGCTTACATAGTTTTGTGATGAAAGCATCCTAAATATCTCAAGTTAGTTTCCTACACATGTCTATCTGCCTTTCATTTATACCAATAGCTAATTTCAAAGTCAGACCCTCCATCTGAGTGTATTTTTGTTTTTCTTGCAAGATTCACATAAGAATGTAAGTAGAAGAAAAGTCCAATGCATTGCTACATCAGACAGCATTTTCTGTATCAGTAGTATGACTTCTGTCCCTCAAATTTTAAATGACTTCTTTCTGCTGATCTTTGTGCATGTGATGGGAAATGTCCTTTCCCAAACAGGCATTTCTTCTTGCTAGTGCAGAGCGTGTCCTCAGGACACCTGCAAGGATCCCAGCTGATAAGAAGGCAACCCCTGCAGCAGAACAAGGGCTTCTGCCCTACAGGATATTACTAGCTCAAATGTTTCTGATTCTGCCTGCCAATCTTCACCTCAAAGTAGCAGTGAGAAAATACGACAGAATGGAGAGTTTGAAGCAGAGAAATAAAGGAGGAGTCATAATTCATTGACCACCCTGAAAGAAAGACAGGCTTCCTGCACTGGAGACCCAGCCAGGAGGTCTTTGTGGCCAGTGCTGTGGCTGAGGGAGGCACATGCACATTTGCTTTCCTTTGAGTGCAATGTCCAAGACATCTCATGCCTGACTGCCTCTTCTAGCCTGAGGTTGCATTTCTCATTCACTTTTGGCAATGGAGAAAAAGACATTTCACCCATGTCCTGAGGGCGTCCCACAGCAATACTCTGTGCTTTGCTTTTGTTGTGCACAGCTGTACAACCAGGCATTTGGGAGAGTTTACAGCAGCTTCTGTACAAGCTGAAGAGCCAAAACCAAAGTAAAGAACTAAATAGGAAGCTGTTAAAATACCACGAAATTAAATTGAAAATAAACACCTTATTCTTTCCAACATTTACTTAAAGGATAACTTTAAATACCTTCCCTTCTCACATCTCTTCCCAAGACCTTTGTTGTGGGAATGTATTTATTTCCTTCTCTTCTTTCACAAACTCCCAGGTAGGTGCCTTCCATTTGATCTTCTCAATCGTGATACAGTTTATTTCAGAGTTTGGTTCAGCCTGCTCACGTGCAAAACAGGCTCTCATTGCACTCAGATTCCCAAGTACCCCAGTGACTCAAGACAGTCACAGCTGTGGTTTTTTCATCATTTTCTTTCCTTTTTTTCACCAACTCCAATTTCCTTCCCTGGTGCCTTTTCTGTTCCCTGGGGAGGTGGCAGTCAGCACAACATGGCACCAAGGCTGGTTCCCAACATCTGAAGGAGATGACAAGGCCATTTTTTTTGGTAGTGTCTTCAGGGGATGAAATGTGCTAATGCAATGCAAATTACCCTTATGAAACAGCCAAATGTCTTGGGACTCCATCCCAGAAATATCCCACTAACATGGCTCTGGTGCATTTCTTTCATTTCCTCTAGTCAAAGGCCAAATCATCTGAAAATATATCCATTTTCTAGCTGTCCTATGTTATGACACAGCTGGAGTTGGTTAAAATCTAGATGGCATAAGCTGATGGGTCTTTGTGTATGGCTTTGATTTATTATTCTAGAACAGCCTGTCCCTTCTTCAGTACTGTAGTTTTGTTCTGCTCTAACGAGAAAGCCAGAAAATGTCTGAAGCAGCTTTGCTATTATATAGTCCACATCTAATGCAAAGTAAAAGTCTAGGCATGCAGGCACCCAGATTTTGTTGTTTGCACTCCTCAGTGCTTTACAGACCAGGATGAGTGGCAGATCTTCTTAGCAGAGAAACTTTGCCTTCCTCAGCTTCACAGGGCCCTGAAAGGCAGCTGGTGATGGTGGTAACTGTCTGCCTTCAGGCCAAATTAGTATTTTCACATTTTAACCAGGAAGCCAGGTAATTACATTTACAGCCTTGGTGGTTTTGGAAATAGAAGGAAAGCAAACCACAGTAATTGGTCAGGTACCTGCATGCGGTGCACTGAGCCACTTCAGAGGCTGGAGAGGAAAAAAAATAATTACACAAATAGTCTTGTTATTCAGTTTTTCTTTTCAAGTGTAAACATCTTGTGACATTCTGCTTTTCCCAGTACTAGTGCACCCTGCAGTCAGGAAGGGTCTTTGGTTTTGGGAAAGACTGTAGCCATCAGCATCTGAACTGTGCTGTGACTGCATCTTTCTCCAAGCAGAAAGAAAAAAATGGAGTTTTGAGGCAGATTTTCTCTCCGTGAGGTGACAACGAAGGTCACAGCATAAAGAAAGCCATAGGGACAATTAGTTGCAAATATGCATGCTAACACTGTGGTGGTCAAGTGTTAAAAGACCATTTAACTTTACCTGTAGTTGTTTTAAACTGACACTGAAGAAAGAGCAGGGGAGAGGGAGATTTTAATGGAAAGCCTGATTATAAACTTTGCCCTAAAGTGGAGGAAGCAGATCTCTTCAGGCTGTGGCTCTGGTTCAAGTCAGAGATTACTTTCTGATTCCTAGACCAGTGCCCCTGGTGAAATGCTCAGTGCTGGTTCCCTCTCCTGCAGCAGCTCCAGATGAACTAAACTGAGCCCTGGCAGCCTCTGGAGTTGTGAGCAGGTATGTGACTGATTGTTCCTTGGTCCTATGAGCAAGGAAGTGAAACTCTCTTCTTTTATGCCATCCTGGCACCTGACTCAAAGTCCTTTGAGGTCAACTTGGGTCTCTGGATCAGACCTTTGTATAAACAGACGTTGTTTCCAGACAAAGGGGAAAAAAAAACCTGATTTTCTCTGGCACAGAGGATTTGGGTGTATTTTTTTCTGGTTAAAGGAGGAAGAAAACCTCAAAATACATTTATTTGTTTTCCCCTGAAGATTGTGCTCTTGGCTGGAGAGCATCTCTCCCGCGTTCAAGCCCTTAAGCAAATTTTCTCTCTTTCCTCCTTTTTATGACAGAGGAGACTGGCTGCACGTTGCCCTCTGCTATCCCAGGAACACCATCTTCCACGTGGTGAAAGATATCTACCAGCGACGGACAGGGATGGTGCACAGCATAAAGCATTACCTCATGGCTCCTTCCCGTGACAGTGTTCTCAATGGGACCGGCGAGCAGCTCTTCTACTTTGACAGAGCGTTGGGGTGAGCCCATGAGAGACCTCCAGTGAACAGGCAGCAAACCTCTGGGGTTCTTCTCATTCCGGTCCTGCTTCTTCCTTTCCCTGTCTCATAGTTAAAGTTCAGACTCATCCATCTTGCATGGTCCTTTCATTGATTTCAGGTCAAAGCAGAGGTATGGGACGGTATAACCTAGATTAGGCCTACTTCAGTCAAGCACCAAGCAGCAAGATAGATTGGGAAATTTCAACTTCTTCATACTCCCATGAGGAAAGGTTGACCATAGTGCATCTCTTATTTTGAAGGCAAGAAGAGAGTCCCAGAGGTCATGCACTGTCTTTAGAGGAATCCAGAACACCTTTACTTAAGTAAATATCTTACAAAACCATGTTTCCCTATTTGCTAAAACAGTTGGGAAGGAAAAAATTGCACAGTGGTGGTCTAACCATGATGTTTCACCTGACTAAGCAGCTACTTTAGAAATCAACCCACAAATGCCAAACTTGAAAATAAGATGTGATGTATTTATTGTTTCAACCATAACACATGAGCAATCAAATCCCAGAATGTTTTCCCTGCTAACCAGGTTTCTTGGTGATAGCCAGGTCTCTTTTATGATAGGAATTGTGAAATAACAGTTTTGTAGTCAATCCCCCTTTTCTTTTTTTTTCTTTTTTCTTCTTTTTTTTTTTCTTTCTTTCTTTTTTTTTTTTTTTTTTGAGAGGAGGGGTTAACTGCTGCCCAAATTTTTTTTTTTTTTTTAAAAAAAAAAAAAAAAAAAGGTTGTTTACTACTGAAAAGCAGGGGAAAATTGTTACATGTGTGGGTCTGTAGAGGCAGAACCATTGTCTGCCAGCAACCGTCTGGACCTGGTACGTGCATATTGATGGACATAACCCAGCTTAGTTCTGGCAGTATCAGCCTTTTCATTCTGTTTAATTCAGCAGTGCTATTTTTAGCCTCTCAGAGTACAAAAGTTAGGGGACTGGCTTTTTTCTTTTCCTGTTGTTGTTTTGTAGACTTTATTTCATAATGAGTGGGATGTTTCCCCTTCTTTTTTTAACCCCACATGCTGGATCCTTGGAGAGGAACCAAGCTTACTCATTCTTTCTTCCAGACAAATAGAAACAAATATTTAGTTTTTAAAGAAATAGAAAAAAAGCAAAAACAAAACAAGAAAACCTTTACAGCTCATGCATCTTTTTGATCCTGAAGCTTAGCTGAGCTGTTTATGTAATTTCCTCTGCCTGAATTGCAGAATGGACGCAATTGAAAACACACTTGAACAGCTAGGAAAAAATGAACTCCAAGGGCCAGAAGATCTGGCTGCCTTAGAAGTTTTGTCATGCATGCCTAGGGCTAAGCTGTGCCTGTAGGCCAGGGCCATGAGATGCAGGAGCCAAAGGGGACGATGCCAGTATTTCTAAGCAAGCCTGTTTCCTTCTGCACAAAACAGCATGAGCATCTAGCAGGATGCAGCTGCGCCTGGTGCTGGAGGTGATGCATACTCCACAGTGCTTGCCCAATGAAGGAAGTTGGCTTGGGTGTACGGGCTGAGAGTGCTGCAGGTCTCATCATGCTGGGTTGAGAGGGAGGCTCTACTTGTGTCCTTGCAGACCTGTTTTGAATGTACAAGTTGCAGGTGTTCTGTATTACACCACTCTAAGGGTTCTTCAGCGGTGTTGCAAAATGGGAGGGATGATAGAATTTAGCATGTAAAGACCCTCCCTCTATTCAGCTTTTCCCTTAAACACTTCATGACTCTGATCATTATGTTTGCTCTCATTTGTAGGTACCTATTTGTCCACCTGCAGGCCCACGAAGCTCGGCAAGGGCACAGTTACTGCTCCCAGCAAGGCTGTGAACGTATCAAAATCATGGCGCAGATGTACCCGGGGGGGTCCTGGAGCTGTGCCCCCAACCCCTTTTTGCAGAGGCCAGCTGCCCCGCAGCGCCCTGTGTCCCAGCACCAGGCAGTGCCATGCAGGGCTTGTGGGGCCCCACAGGTAAGAGCGCCCCTCCTACAGCACCTGAGGTCATGCAGCACGTATGCGTCAGTAGGGAACAGCCGCTTGTGAATCTGGCCAGCACTGTGTAACGTGTGGAGGGAAGGATTTTGCACTAAATTTCTGCAGTTTTCTGTACCAAGCTTCAAAGATAACCTCAAAGAAATCACCCAACTGGAAGCAGGTGAATGCACAGTCACAGCATCTTTCTTCCCACCCCCTTTTTTTTTTTCTTTTTCTTTCAAACAAGCATAAAAGAACACTTCAGAGAGCTCAGACTGGATTAGCTTTGAATTCCAAAGTGCAGTATTGCTGTTGAATTTCAGTCTGGGAAGTAATTCTGGTTAATAAGAATGATGGGAAAATCAGACCTAGGTTCTCTTTTCATTTACAATTCTGTAAATCCTGTAGTATTATTTCAGGCTCATACAAATCCGCACCTCGGTTATAATCAGGCAGGATATATGAAACTTATATTCAACTTCTTATTCAGAGGCAGAGTGACCATCAGAGGTCCCTACCAACCTCCACTGCCACAATTCTTTGGTAAATGTTGTCTTAACAGCAAGCACTTGTGAATCAGGGTCATAGTTTGAAAAACTATGTTCTTCAAGCTTTCCAACTGTGAGCATTGGTGCTTGGTGTCATTCTGCTGATGAAAACCAGTTAGCCTACCAGTTTTTTGAGGCTCTGTCTCCATGTAATTGCAGCTTGCTATCACCAGCACGCCCTCAGTCAAGTATGTAAGAATCCAGATCCAGTCCCTCAGCAAGGCAGACATACAGAACCACTTGACATCTGCATTCATTAAGGTATGTGCTTTGCTACATTTGAAATGGTGATTAAACAGGGAGAAACTTTATCTCCAAGGTAAGTTATTGCAAAACCTTGCTGAACTTAGGCAGAAGGAAATGGGAAGTTCCCCTGGAAGACAGGAGTGCATTGTTCTCCTTTACAATTAGCTCCATTCTAATCACTGGGAGTTCGTATTCTATTCAGATGAGGATTTGAGCCCTAAAGGGGAAAAAAGGCTTTTTATCACCTCAGAAGAAGAATTAACACCACCACTCTAATATAGAGGATGTGCGGAGAAAAGCACATCAGAAAGCAGTGCTTACAAAGGATGAAGGGAAAAAAACAAGCTTGTTTTTCTGACTTTCTCTGGCACTGCTCTAAAGATAAAAATAACTGTATTTCACGTCTGAAGGAGTTGGAGCTGTCAGGTTATCCCTGCACATGCCTTACACCTCTGCTTGGATGGAGAAGTGTGACTGAAATCACATCAGCAAGGATGCTGCCCAGGTTCACATGCCGCGGAGTTATATTAAGTGCTGACAAATGCCTCTTCCTCGCTCTGCCTGACCCCCTGTTACATCTCTGAGAGCCTTTGTCTTGCCAAAAGCAGAGATTGTGGCACATCCTGGGAGCTGTAACCTGCAGAAGGAGCCCCTGCTGCAGGAAGCGAGGGGAGTAGGAGGCACGTGTGCTGAACTCCCTCGAGGCCCAGGGATGGCACTAGCAAAAATGAGTTTGTTTTTGAGATCTTGCTATATTGACATTCCCAGGGGAGCAAAAAAAAAAAATGTCCACGTGTAGCTTCTGTCCCACCACTGCTGTCTTAGCACTTCTCTCCTGCTCTTTGGTCAAATCTGCCATGCCAAGTGACAGTCATTTCACCCACATGAGAAGAATCTGTGTTAAGGCTGAACTAAGCATTTTACTCCCAGTATTTTTGGCTTCCCAAATGTATTTTTTTAACACACAAAATATGTCCATGACCTCATTTTTCATGTTTTGGTACCCCAATGGGCTTCCCAGGGCTACTCAGAACGAATGGCTTTTCCTCCTCCTTCCCTGATGGTCTATCAGTGATACCACTTCATCTGCACTAATTACATATGGAAAACTACAGGCTGTAAACAGCAGATATTTTCCTCGCTTGTAATGCCCTTTTTATGGAAAAATAGGAGCATAGCCTGAACCTCCACATCACTCACTGCCTGCCTCCATAAAACTTACTTCTGTGTTTTGTTGCAGATAAATGACACGACGCTCCTGTTTAGTAGCCCTGGGGTGTTCTTCGTGGTGCTAGATGCATGTTCAGGAGCAGTTGTGAGTAGGCGGCACTTTGACACAGTTGCTGGGGAAAATGTGACCGATTCAATAACTGATTATGTTCAAACATTAATAAAAGAGAGGTAAGCAAAGTGCTGAAAGCCCAGCTTGTGTAGAAGCCTGTGGCTGATAGACAAAGAAAGAAAAATGAGCTACTTTCATATCTGAACCTGTGCTCTGAAGGAATCTGGCAAAGACTGAATACGTACAAATCCTGAACATCACTCAGATAATAAGAGAAGGACTGTCTCTCTCTCAGGATTGCACAGATTAGAGCAGAAAGAGACAGATTTTCTAGAAAATTGTCAATTCCTTCTAAATGAACAATCCATTTTTCCAATATGGAGTAGATAAGGTCCTTGCAATGACATTTGCAGTCCTGTGTACACATCCCAAGGTCCAGCAGTTTCCTGGCAGTTGATGATTCAGTTTTCCATTTCTGAAATGGGTTGGTTTCTGTTTACCCTTAATGATTGTTTTTACCTCTTCTGACAGATGAAAATCATAGGTGTGCCAGATTTTCCAGTAGGACTTTGCTTTGGACGAGCCGATGAACAGACCTGCGTGCCTGTTACCTTCAGTGTGTCCTGGCAGTGGTCTGGATCATCTCTGTTTGTGTCTGTTCCACATTCCTTGTGGTTTTATGTGTCGCCACATAAACATGGAACAACAGAGATTTATAGATAAATTCTTGGCTGCTGGCAGAAGCAGGTCAAATAACCAGAAAACAGACTTTCAGTCCAAAGACATTTCTGAGCAGCTCATGACCAAAGATTAGAAGATTGCAGAGTTATTCCATCTTTACTTCTGCACACAAGTATGTACATGTATAAAACGTGCACAAAGTGACAAATATGCACGTGATGACTGTACATTTGTATTGATTTCCTTGCATGCTTTCGCAAGCTGGACATTCAGCTAAATGCAACCAGTTGTGCCTGTAATTCATTGCAGGTACAATTCACTGAGGACTTGAAAGCACATCTGTGAGAATTGCAGCCAGGCAAGCGCTTGACTTTAAAGCAGCTTTTCAGTGCATAGATGGCTAAAGAGTCTCAGAACTGTAAGCTTACATGTGACTGAAATCACAGGGATTTAAGTATGTTCTTAAAATTAAGCAATCAAGTCCTTTTCTTAATTGGTCTCGTAGATTCTTAACAAGGGTAATATTTTGCAGTCGTGCAGTAATTACTGTCCTTCTTTTCAGATCACTTGTTCTTGTGTGCTCTAGAGATATTGGAGACAAGGTGTGGAGCTCTGAAATGTCTGTTTTTACAAGGTTAGGTTCGGCAAAGCCTATTGTCTTCCACAGAGAAGGTAAATATTTTTTATTTTCTTGGATGAAAGAAAGGTGAAGCACCAGACTTGGGAAGTTTCTACTTACAGTTTTACCTTGAATTGCTGTAAAAAATCCATCAGTATCATTGGTCCAGAAAATTCAAGTCATTTTGGATCACAGATTTTTATACCCTTAGAGCATTCATTTAGAAATAGTTTCACTGTATTTGCAAAGAAATGAGAAAGAAAATAGGAAAATCATTGCAGATGACACTGGCCAGATCCTGATTGATGCTCTATTCCATTCCAAAGACTGTTCTCTTCACAGTAAGACGTTTGTAGGCACCTCCTCACTGCGGTGCCTTTAAGCAGCACTCGTTTCTGGCAGAACAGCTTTCAGCCTGAATTCTGTTTCTGATGGATTTGAGGGAACTGCTTGTGGAAGCTCAGTGTGCACATAGCTGCCAGCTACATACTGCCTTCATTGTGCTGGGTTTCCTATTAGAAAACGGGGCTGTTGAAGTCCAGGTTTGGACAAATGACTCAAGCAATGAGGAAATTAGGAAAATAACTAGCTAGCTTGAGTCAGATTCCACCTGCAACCTCTTAAGCAGAAATCAGATGCAGAATTGGTTGTATTTTCAGCTCCTTTTTTTGTTGTTGTTGTTGCTTTTGCTTTATTGAAATTTACTTTCAAAGCTTATTGCTGTGACTGTTCCAGGAAGAGAACAGCATACTCTTTACAGCAGAGACAGTACTTCACTTTGGTGCCTGTTTGATTCCTGAGAAGCTGTTTTATCTTTCATCCTTTCAAAGCAAAAAATTTGAGGTTTTCTTTTTTTTTTTTTTTGCTATTTCTTTGTCCTGGAACTTCATTGCTTCATTCCTTCATCAAAGCCCTGAATACTTTTGAAAGGAATGTCTTGATTAAAAAGGACTCTTTTTTGTTTACTTTGTCAAACTTAGTTCCCTGGCACACCTGCACTGCTCGCTTGGATGCAGCCATTCCAGGTCATTTTTGGGAGCTCGGGTCCTCTGCCTCTGCAGCACACAAAGGAGTACACAGGGCCACCACAAGTCCCCATCAAGGGCCGTTTCCTTGCTCTGCTGCTTCACTTGAGAAGTCAGGGTCATTGTGCTGATGGCTGACAGTGGGATTAAGCCGTGTTGGCTGATGCCGCGTTGCCCCTGTTTTACTTTTCTTAAGGGCAAGGGTGATCACCTGCACGCCTGCCCTAAGTTCCAGTCTGGGTAATTATGTTCAGATTCATGAGCTTTCTCCTGCTGATTCAGGTATGTGCACTATTCTACCTCACAGCTCCAAAAGCGACTGCATGCAGGGCTGTGTTCAGCCGCTGCTGTGGTCCGCTCTGGGGGGCTGTGGTTCAGGGCAGGCTGGAGTATTTCTCCCAAATACGTATTGCTGCTGCCAGGGATAATGCACAAAGCAATCCTCTTGACCCCAGTGGGATCAGGATTTAGGGTCTTGTTGCCTGGTTCTGCAAAACCTTATTTAAATTAGAAGTGTTTACGGGAATAGTCTTGATCCAACCATCTGCAAATAGCCTTGGGAGTCTTTGCAATGAAAAGCATAATATAAACACAAGACATTATTATTAAAATCAAAGAACACATAATGCCTTTGTACTTTGGGACAGCAGAGGACAAGAGCAGAGCTGACATGGGGAACAGTTTATGCATAACAGGAAGAAAGTGATGTAAACTAATAAAAGAAGGATTCAAAATGCCTAACCATTTTCATGTAGTCAAATATGAAAAAGTAGCAATGGTTAAAAAATAAAGAGTAGAACATCCCTCTAACTCACATCTGGGATCCCATCTTAGCTTATTGAAATACCAGCAGATCTGTGACGCAGTGAGGTTACAGCTTTGGAAGCCCTATTCCCTCTTTCATCATTCTTTTTGCTTTTTCAGTGTTCCATTATTTTAATCCAAGGGGGAAAAAAAAAAGACTAAGAAGTTCCAATGATGTTCATGCTGTATTGCTAATAAGTGAACGGATCCACCCAGGGGGTTACACTCACTGTGTCTGTTTTACAGGGAGTTTTGCTATGCTCGGCTATAAAGGACAAGCCAAGCCCTCCTGGATTAAAGTCCTAAATCACACTCGTTATCAGAAAACTGCTTCTCTACAGCATTATGTTCCCTTGAAGACGAAAGAGTATCAATGTTCAGATAATGCCTTTTCTCAGAACCACTCAGAGCACAACTCTGCAGGGGCTGCAGCACCCTGCAATTAGCATCGTTGGTGTAACCACAGCCAGGCAAGTCCAGCAGCTGTCACCAAATTGCTCTTGTCTTTATGGGATTGTATCAAACCGATGTTGTTCACTTGTATATTTTATAATTAATAAATGTATTCTCATCTTACTCGCTATGGTAGAGTTTTATTTTCCAAACAGTGCCCTACAGGGCGGATAGGAAAAGCCTGTGGACTGCACTTCCCAAGGAGGAGAAGTGTTTGAGCAATGTCTATGATTTGGTGTCAAACGGTAAGTTCTAAAGGCAAAACCCTGTTCTTCAGTGTCATAGGCAATGAAAATGAAACTTGGCATGGAAACTTTAGCAGCATCTAGCAGTGAAACAGATCTTCTATGGCATTTTAGGTGAGCTCGCAGACATCTGCTTGCATCAGTGGGTAAGCATGTGATCATCTTACAATAATATCTGCTAATCAACCTGAATATATATGGTGACAACAAGGAATTACAAATGTCTGTCTGTAGCTAATGACTGGTGAAATGCTATTTGCCCAGTTGATGCGAACATTTAATTAAACATGTGCTGTGCAGGGTAAAATCTTGCATTCCTCTTTCAATGACTGTATTGACTTTCTGCTCCCATGGAGTGTTGAACTGCTGGTATTAGCAGCTAAGATTCTTTGCTTTTTGAAATGAAAGGCAAAGAAAGAGCTATGTATGCAAACAGAGACAAACCGATGACTCACTGACTACAATTTAAGTACAAAAGTAGGATGAAATGATGGGATTCTCATTTTGCTTTGAAAGCAATGTTACCTGGTGACAGCAAGGAAGGAGAGGGCAAGTTCAGACTACCATGTCTTTGCCACGGAATTCTTTACAGGAGCTGCACAAGTTTACAAAACGTTCAAAACTGGAAAAAAAAAAAAAAAGTTGAAATTCTGACATGTAAATAAGGTAATTATGATGTTCCTTTGTTACTGTTTACTTGCTTCCTGTTAAGCCCACATCTAAAATCTTGGATTTTCTTTTTATGTTCAGAAATCACAAGCCAATCAATGACGTTGTTGGTCTTAAAATGTGATAATTCTCTATTTTCTTATACAGCAGAGTAAAAGAAAATGCATAGGTAGGGCTTGTTGGCTGGCTGCAGCTGTGTTGGATTACTTTGTTGATTGGTCACTGTGGTTTTGAGTGAGAAGATCCTAATGGGGGAAGGGGCAGCTCAGAGAAAAAGGCCAAGGATTGGTTTATTTGCATGGAGAAAACTTCATTTTTGCGTCATCCTCTTTTTGCAAACAAGACAAAAGAAGTAATGGGTGTTGGGGTCCTGACTAACAGAGAGAAATCTAAAGAAGTAGCTTTACTTTTACTGCTCAAATATGCAGGTGAGTGTGTACTTGCTGATGTTCCTTCATGTCTATAATGGATGGATCCGTGGCCGTAGATAAATGTGTAGCATCATAGATCTTTTCTCAACAGAGAGACATGGTTTTTTTTCCAGCTCTTCTACAAAACTATACTGCCCTTTCCCTCACTATTTAGTGCAGTGGGAACTTTGCATATCAAGGCTAGCCCTTCTGTCACTTTGGGGCTTATGGGAGCGTGGGGACTGTGCTTCACAGCTGAGGTGCCATCACACACCTCCCCACAGGCCCAAGGCTTGAAGGAAATAGACATCTGAAAGATCTGTGGGCAGAAGAGGAGACTGTGGCTCCATCTCTATGCCAGGAAGAAGAAGCAGGAGTTGGGTTCAGCCAGAGGAGAGGTTCTGGCTTGCTAGAAAGTGTGAAGAAGTCATTGATGCTGCTGAGGAAAGTAGGCTGGAGCAAACCCCTTGGGGAGCAATGGGAGCTGAGGCTCCTGGTGGAGACAAGTGGTATGAGAGCCCAAGCAGCTGGCACTGACCTTCCTTGGAGCTCTCTGAAGTCCTTTTGAACTATTAGTACCTAATTGTTATGATTTCTGAGGCCACGCAGGGGAAGAAAAGCAAGAGGTTTTTGGCTGTGAGCTTAAGCCCAACATTGGAACAACTACTTACAGAGTGAGGCTTTACTTTCTTGGAGATTTATTTGATAATCCCTGACAGGTCCAGAGCCTGGATCCCAATAAAACTTTGCAGAGCTCTAACCCCAGTCTGAGACTAAACAACTGGCAAAAGACAAGCCTGGTGAAGGAGAGGAATGTGCCTAAACTCCTGAGAAATCTCTCTTCCTCCTCCCACTTCAGAACGAGAGCAAATGGCGAATGTCCTGGAGGGGAAGGCGTGGAGCCATGGTGAGCCAGATGCAAACAGCAAGTACCACAAAAGCAATAAGAAAAATATTTACATCCTGATGGAGCTATTTGAATAGTTAAAAGCGGCTGCTTGAAGAGGATTCAGGATGCTGTGATCCTCATAAGCTACTGCACACGCTTTCCTTACCCTGAGAAGATCAAAAGTCTCAAAAGCCAGGAACGGTCCACAGAAGATGTTCCTCCATGGAGCCTTGGGACATTCAGGATGAAGTTTTCAAGGTCTGCTGCTAGCTTGGCGTGTACCAGAAGCCTGTGTGTGTGAAGCTGTAGGGTAAGTGTTGCGTGGCTATTTTGTTTGTGGAGAGCTGTCATATTCCTCTCTGAAACGTCCAGAGCAGGAAAGTCTCCATCTACATGCTGGAGTGCATGTGGACTACGAGTGCCCTGTAGCTAATGCAGGCACGTTCGGTACATCTAATGCATTCAGGACATACGCCTGTCCTGTTATTTCCAGAGCATTTTTGCAATGGGTACACTTTAGCTCCTTCTGAAAGCATTGTTTTGGCTGTACACCAAGAACTTTACCCAGTAAAGTTAGTGCATTCTGAGCCTCCGAAGCTAAGGCTCAGCTTCCCACCACCTGGATGGTCTGAAAACTTCGTGATGTGGATGAGGGTTCAGTGAAATGCTGAGCAATTTAAAAGGATGCAAGACTGGAAGTCAGTGAGGCTCTGAAGGGTGGAGCATTGTGAATTGCAAATGATTTTGCTTTAGCTAAGCCAAAAATTTCTTCCTTTCCTTTTCAAGGTCTGTGAGCCTGTGCAAAAGAGATCAATACTGAAAAAAAAAATATTTTTTTTATAATTAAAAAAACCACATAGGTTTTAAAAAATATAAATATATATACACACATATTTCTGCCTCAAAATAGTTTGCCAATATTGCAACAAATTTGCAAATGTCTGAGTTGTCTTTAATTTATTCATTGTAAAAACTCCCCCTAACTCCTGCTCCTCTTTCAGAAGCATCGTGAACATCAGGAATTTGAAGTGACACTTATGTATGGAAAATTTGAGCAGAACGATGTGGGATAAATTGATAAGAAAATGATTCATTGGGAAAAAAAGCAAGTTATGCTTTTGACTCAAGTATTGATTTCATTGAAAAGTAAGGTTTGTTGCTGCATTTCATCCTCCTGCACTTGCCAGCAAAAACAAGCAGCTAATGGCTGGATGGGAAGCACAAGATCAAGATGAAGGGCAGGAGTAGCTTTGCAGCTGTGCTGCCCTGGGAATGCATTTTCATTAGTTATCCCTAGAAATGAGTTTATTTGTGAGGCTGTCTGAAGGCTTTAGCTGTGCTTGTGGCTCATGTGTGAAGGCTCCCCTTGTACAGGAATGTCACTGTAGCAAGAGCTGGCATGTCCTCAGATTCGAAAGGCAAATGCACTCATAAAATCTGTCTTCCCAGCTGGGGTTAAAATGCAAAATTTCCTGATCAGGGTGAGAGGACAGCTGCTGCTGTGCAGTGTCAGCACGGAGGGAGCAGAGGCGCTAATTAAACAGCTCCTCCTTCTGAAGAATCAGCTGCCAAACTGAAGTTGGCATCTTTGCATTTAGATGAGGAAATATGCAGCAGCTCTTCAGACCTAGCCAATGAACCAGGAAAAGCTCAGCATCAGCTCACATTTCCTTTATTCTGGTTACAGCAGGCTGAGGGCCCAGGTCTGGCTGCCCAGAGCAGGAAGGAGAGAGTCTGCTGCCCACTGGGCTACTAGGTGACTTTGACAGCCAGGCTCACGTGAGCTTTCCTTACACTTCTCTGGGTATGGCTCCACATCCCTGCTTGGTATGTGGCCTCTCTTGTAGTAGTCAGGGTGCATGCAGATGTCTTGCTCCTATTTGATATCTTCTTTGGGGGACATTAGGGATCTGCTGTGTATCTCCCATCCTTGCTGTGTTTGTGTGGTTAATGTCCCTGCTGGACATACCAGGTAGGAGCCTCCTCTTTAGCAGATGCTGGTTTTAAAAAGCATCTTAAAATACCCTGTATCAGGAGTTACTTGCTTAAAATTCTGTTCAGAGGCTTGGCTGGTTGTCTCCTGGCCATGCAAGGTGCTGAGGCCACCCTGGAGGGCTCAGCTGTACCATCTGGGCACTGGAGTGTCCAGAGGACCCTACCACTAAGCCTGGAACAACCCAAATTCCTTGGATCATTTGTACTTTTTTACCCCCAGGGCTGTCTGCTCTGTGTTGCCTCCAGCATTAAAACTGCATGGAGTAATGTGGATGGGGATTCCTGCCTACACAGTGTGCTTTCTAGTACAGTATCGCTGCTGACACCTGCAGTAGCAGCCAGCTGGGGACTAACGGTTTCCTGTGTCTACTTTTAGCATTGTCTGCTGGTATTGTTCACTATTTGGAAAGATCCAGCAGCTGGGAATCATTTCAGAGCATCTGCCTTGCCAGATACAGGGATATGAGTCCCACTGGCCATTGCCAGGCAGCTTTTAATGGCCAGATGAAAGAGCTTTTCTCACCCAAGAGAGGTGTCACAGATGGTGTTTGAGAAACACTGGAGATGATAGACTGAGCAGGACGCTCACGTGGCCCGTAGGCTTTCAGAGTGCCCAAATCCGAGGGGAGATTTGTTGATGGAGTGGGTTACATCAGAGCTGAA